TTTCACCCCCTTACGGCGCCCCTGGATCAGAACAAGTGATCCTGATGATCAAACCTCTACAGATTCCTCTATTAGGATTCTCTCCTGATGAACTGAGTTTCAGGAAACAAAGCTGCATGGTAAGGCACGGTAACATCTTCATTATATTTATCCCCAAATGTATAATCACAGATTTCCAAAAAGCATTTAAATCATATTCTTACAGTACCTGTTGAATTCCCTTCAGGTCAATTTAGACACCTGCATGTGTGCAAGAAACTCTGCTCATTTCTTCCTCATCAGTCCTGTGTCTGCCTGCATCTGATCTGAGGACGCCGTCACTCCCTCATAACTTCAGAGTATCAAAACACATGAGTCACAAGAAACCTGTCCAACAAGCACAAGAAAACAGTCAACTTGAGATATGGTGTAGTTCTACTAGCTGTCCACTACATGGTGGTAACTGATCATCCAATTGACAGTTGATGTGATCTCATTAGCATCCTAGTGTAGCTGTGATGAAGAGTTTCCACAGACATACAGTATTGACTGATCTCCGTCCTCTCTGTGGACGCCTGAAGACACAGATATGTTCTTTTATTAGGATTCTTTCCAGGTTAAAGTAAAGAAAATTGTAACTATGGATCCTACACCAATAACAACATTAATCAATGTTATTTATAATCGCACTTTTCATTTTAATAAACAAAACTCAAAGTGCTACAGAGTAAAAACATTAACACATTAGGTAGACAGGGCAACAAGAGGATGGTTAAAGTTCTAGCAAATGGCTTTGTTAAAACAAAAATGTTTTTAAGCCTTATATAAGCTTCAAATAAGATAAACCATTTTGAGTGATTCAAACAAAAATGCATTTTTTTTTGTTATTTTGATTGGCCAAGTTGGACATTGCAAGTTTAAGTATTTATTTATGGAAACATTTTTGGATGAAGTTTTAGTGAACCTTTTTGATCAAACGCATTGTTCTACAACGATTTGTGACCTACATCTTCTGATATTCACGCTGAAACATTATCAGTCAAACTGTCAAAAACACAAGACATCAAATGATAATAAACAACAGGACTGATCACCAAGGAATTCCCCTGGAAACCAACATCAGAAAGAACAACAGAGCCGACTGAGCCGCCTGCAGCGTCTTGGCCAAATAGTTGTGTCGCTCACACATTGCAGTGACAACAGCAAGTTATCAAGTACTTTCTGCTCACACCGTCAGATGATATAACTGGCCTTTTTTAACCAACGTCTCTTATTTCTGTTTAGTAGTTAGTTGCTCAGGATGCTCTGATCAAGGGACCCTGTGCTGTCATATCGATCCGGTCAGTTTAACTTAGTTTAAAGACATTTGAACTGTCAGAAAACACCATGGAATACTTTGAGAATATGATATTTTAAAGTAAATAAACAGAGAAGAAGAACACTAGTGTTTAAAGAGAATGGGCTCTGGCTGTATTTAGAGACTGGTTGATGGGAAATACAATTTAAACAGACCTGGACAGTTACTGAAAACCTGGATCAGTGCTGCCGTCATTTGAAGTCACGTTGCTGCAGTTCAGACGCTGATACTAGAACAGAAGACGGACCCCTCCACTAACATATCTCATGCTATCACAAACATCCCATCAGAAAACTCAATGCTCCATCAAACAGTTTCAGATACAAAGTCCAGCTGACATGAGACTCCACTGGAGCGTCTCTGACTGCAGTATCAGTAAAGACATGAAGACCCTAAACACGCAGTGAATGTGAAGAGACCACAAAGAGGTTTTACATCATTCCTGGTGTGTTTACTCTTCAAAGATTAAAATAAAAAAGCACCTCAGTCACGTGGATCCGGGTCTGACACTCCCTCACAGCACTGATGATCTCAGATTACAATCAACCTGCTGCCAAAAACTGGCACCATTACAAGGAAGTCTGTTTAAAATCATTCTTTAACTCCGAGGGAAATTCTCCTCAATACTTTATAGATATATAGAATCAGCATCAAGAAACATCAGTCCTGTCCAGCTAAACAGTGATACAGAACAATGTGATCAAAGTGATCCTGATGATCAAACATTTACAGATTCCTCTGGTAGGATTCTCATCAATGAACTGAGTTTTAGTCAACACAACTCTGTGGTTAGTTTAGGTAACTACTTGGCTGTATTTATCCCCAAATGTATAATCCCACATTTTGAAAATCATATTCTCACCTGTTGAATTCCCTTCAGGTTAATGTAGACGCCTGCATGTGTGGAGGAAACTCTGCTCATGTCATCCTCTGCAGTCCTGTGTCTGCGTGCATCTGATCTGAGGACGCAGACACACCCTCATAACTTCAGAGTGTAACAACACATCAGAGTCACGTGAGAACAGGTCCAACAAGAGCAAGAAACCAGTGAGAGGTGATGTAGTTCTACTAGCTGTCCGCTAGATGGGGCTAACTGACAATCTAATGAAACACAGTCAGCAGTGACATTGAGATGTGATGAAGCAGCCGTGTTGATCATGTGTGTATCTGTCTGATTAGAAACATATAGGATTCTTTTAAACACACCAGCTAGCAAAAACATCAGCAACAATAAATAGCTCTAACACCATTTACGACTCATTTAGGTTAGGACATGTTACTGCTACCTGTTGGGAGAAATAGCTTGTAAAAGAAGAACAGATGGTGAACTTTAAATGCTCACTCAGCATGATAACATGTTCCATTACACTCCACTCTTCTGATCATATTACATATTGATCACAAATATAGAAGTACTATACATGTTATCATTGACATTCAAAATTCACAAGGATTCAATTTACACAGTGTATGATGAAAACATGTGCCATATTGCAGTCACTGGGATATGTGAGCAAGCTAATCTGAAGGAAACAACACAAAAGATATTTACGCATTTGTTTCATCATCAGTCAGAACTGGAGTCAGAGGATGAGGAGTAGACTTCAACATGTCAGCTTCAGTCTTCAGAGGTTGATGGGCTAACATAGGTTTGATACTGATTTGTCAATATCTTTCATAACAAGTCCTCTAACACAGGGAATAATGCAACAGCCACTCAGAGCCAAAAGTCCTATGACAGTGATTAGAGAGGTGAGAATAGCTAAAGTCACCGCTTTCCCAAGCATGCCATCAAACCAGCCTGTAGGTGAAGTTTCTAGCCAGAGTGTTCAGCTAACTCTGAGTGACCTAAGCCCTGCTAACTCTTTAGTGACAGATCCATCTAACAGTGTTGTTGGGGATAAATGTACAGCAAGCATCACGGACAGATCACGAACACCTCCTTCCTCAGCCAGGAGCATGTCTGGTGCCATTCTGTTCTGTGGGAGGGAGCATCGAACTGATCAGCTGATCCTTTAATAGCATCATTAGTGGAATTAACGAAACGTTGCTGATTATAATAAATATAATTTATCATATCAACATTTGTATTAATAGTTACCCAAAAGAAAAGTGATTAGAGCTCCGCCAATATCTGATTTCTAGCTTTAAACTCCTCTGACACCCCCCGAGGAACGCCTATGCATGCATGTAATCTCTGTCGTTGAAAGAGGCCAACGGTGCATCCCTTTTCTCTCGGGAGGGTTTGAAATTCAGATCTTTAATTTGACCTATCATCACAGGCATAATTAACATCACTGGGGTTCATCTACTCAACCAATTACTTGGGAGTATCAAAACAAAACAGAGTGACGTGAAAACCTGTGTAACCGGTGTCAGAAACCCAGTCAGTGTTAGTGGTGATGCAGTTCCAATAGCTGTCCACTAGATGGTTCTAAATGACTTCGAATTGTGATCTCTTATTTCAGACAAGTGGAAAGAAAACATCCTAAATCGACATTTACTTGTTTATTTTATTTATACTTTTCTATCTTTGTGTTTGTAGATTGTTCCTAAAGTCACCAAAAGTTAGAATATCATAAAGCCTCATTTGCATATTCAATAATAACATTAAATAATTGTCTTGTCCTGTCTCTTTGTTTGATTTCAGGTGATCCAGGTCGTCAGCTAGTGTTGTCAGAACAGTAGAATGTGCAGCACTTAGATTGTAATCTTCATTTCCTGTCATCTGTGAAAAATGAAGGAAGTGTCAGAACAGGTCTTAAAAACTGATCAATGTGACTGAGGGACTATTATTTTTCATTACATTACATTACATGTTACTTGTTAGACGCTTTTATCCAAAGCGACTTACATACTCAATACTGTTATACTATTATTTTTCAACACCTAATGTAACGTGCAGGCATTGAGTGAGCAGGGTTCAAATACAGCTATCTGTTACCCAGATGGCATTCCTCAATTAGTCTCAAAACAAAGGAATGTCCTTACATAGAAAACAGAACAAAATTGCTCCAAATGTTCGACTTAAATGACCAAGTCTCTCCTTTTAACTTCAGTCATCATTTAAGGATTTAAAAACACAGATGTTGATTTATCTTTGCCACCATAAATCCCCTAAAACAATTTTTGGAATATGTGGGTGAAATACAAAAATATGGTTGTATTGTAACAGAATATAATGTAATATTTGTTTGGGATTGCACATTTGAGGATGAATATAACTAGGCAGTTACCTAACCTATGCTATATGGTTGCCTAAACATAACACATGTATGGATATTTCACATGAAAAGCTTTTAAAATGAAGATACAACGTTTTACAGGAAGGAGTACATTTGCCATTAAATCAAAATGTGTTTGCAAGCCAAAGCGTGTTTGAAGAAGTGGAGAAAGAACATCACCCTAGCAGCCTGAGCTTCTTGAGATTCCAGGTTTGTGGCTACGCTGGTTTCATGTCACTCCGATGTGTTTGTACCTGCTGATCTGAAAGGTTTTGTCAGTCAGTACCATCTAGTGGAGAGCTAGTAGAACTACATCACCTCCATTACCTCTCACCTTGACTGGTTCTTCTTCCCGTTGGACCTGTTCTCACGTCACTCTGATGTGTTTGTATACTCTGAAGTTATGAGGGAGTGACGGCGTCCTCAGATCAGATGCAGACAGACACAGGACTGAAGAGGAAGAGATGAGCAGAGTTTCCTCCACACACGCAGGCGTCTAAATTAACCTGAAGGGAATTCAGCAGGTGAGAATATCATTTAGATTGTAAATGTGTTAGGTACATTAATATAGATTTGGGGATAGATACAACCAATAAATTACTGGACCTAATTAAACTTAATCTGTAAATGTTTGATCATCAGGATCACTCTGATCACATCGTGCTGTATCACTGTTTAACTGATCAGAATAAATGTGTCTTGGTGCTGATTCTATAAATCTATTCCAAAGTAGTAGAGAATTTGCCTCAGAATGAAAGAAGAATGATTTTAGAAAGACTTCCTTGTAATGGCGACAGTTCTTGGCAGAAGTTTGATTGTAATCTGAGTTCACATCTTCAGTGAAAAAAGCAGGGAGTGTCTGATGCTGTCTAAAAACTCAGATCAACATGACTGACATGTTTTTTTTTTTTAATGTTTGAACATAGAAACATAGCAGACGTGATGTAATACCTGTGTGTAAAGGGTCTTTCTGTCTTTACTGATACTGCAGTCAGAGACGCTCCAGTGGAGTCTCATGTTTGCTGGACTTTGTATTTAAAACTGTTTGATGGAGCATTGACTTTGCTGATGGGATGTTTGTGATAGCATGAGATGTGTATATGTAGGGGTCCGTCGTTCTGTTCTATTATCAGCGTCTGAACTGCAACCGTGACTTAAAATCACGGCAGCACAGATCCAGGTTTTCTGTACCTGTCCAAGTCAGAAATAACAGACCAATCAGAATCCAGTACTTAGTATACAGCAAAGACAGTGTTTTTCCTCTCATGCAGGCACATCATGTAAAATATACCTGTTTGTTTCTGAAGTCACAGTCGGCTGAGTCAAAAGTAGATTTCTGATGTTGGTTTCCTTTGAAATTGAGTCCCATCGACATTAGTCCCAATCTGTATTGCTATTTGATGCGTTGCTCTTTGAGAATTTAACTGATCATTGTTATCAACAAAATTTACATTTATTAACAATGTGCACCTTGGCCAAAACATAAATAAACCTCTCATTCTGTATTTAGTACCTTAAAAAAGTTTGGGATGTTTGAAGTGAACGTACCTGCAGGAGTCTTGCTGTTCTTAGTTTGTATCTTTATAGCTTGTTTGATTTATTGTACATTTTTTAGTCACTTTAGATAAAAGCGTCGGCTAAATGTAATATAATGTGTCCGATCAGGCACACGTGCACGTGATCCACGCTGCTTCATCATGTGTTAGTGCTGAGCTTTATTTCATTAGAGGGTCCGTTAGCACCACCTAGTGGACAGCTGGTAGAACTACATCACCTCTCACACTGACTGGGTTTCTGACTGATGAGGAAGAGTTTCCTCCTCATATGAAGCTGTCTCAAGTGACCTGAAGGGAATTCAGCAGGTGATAATATGATAGAGATGCTTTTTTATTTGAAATTATAATTCCAACCAAGAAGTAACCTAACCTGACAAAGTATTTTTGTTTCTTAAAACTCAGTTCATCAGGTGAGAATCCTACCAGAGGAACCTGTAGGTGTTTTGATCATCAGGATCACTTTAATTAAATTGTTCTGTATCACCGTTTAAATGGACAGGACTAACGTTTCCTGATGCTGATTCTATAAATCTATCCTAAAGTATTGAGGAGAATGTCCCTCGGAGTGAAACAAGAATGATTTTAGAAAGACTTCCTTGTAATGGTGCCAGCAGCTTTTGGCAGCAGTTTGTTGTAATCTGAGATATCATCAGCAGTGAACAATGCAGGCAATGACTGATCCGGTCCAACAGCTCCGATCAACGTGACTGACATGTTTTTAAAGAAAAAGTTCAACATAGAAGAGTAAACATAGCAGATGTGATATAACACCTTTGTGGTCTCCTCACATTCATTGTGTTTAGGGTCTTTGTCTCTTTACTGATACTGCAGTCAGAGACGCTCCAGTGGAGTCTCATGTCAGCTGGATTTTGTATTTGAAACTGTTTGATGGAGCATTGAGTTTTCTGATGGGATGTTTGTGATAACATGAGATATGTTAGTGGAGGGGTCCGTTGTTCTGTTCTATTATCAGCGTCTGAACTGCAACCGTGACTTAAAATGACGGCAGCACAGATCCAGGTTTTCTGTACCTGTCCAAGTCAGAAAGAACAGACCAATCAGAATCCAGTACGTAACTTAGCAATGCAGCAAATACAGTGTTGTTCCTCTCATGCAGGCACATCATGTAAAATATACCTGCTTGTTTCTGAAGTCACAGTCGGCTGAGTCAAAAGTAGATTTTTGATGTTAGTTTCCTATGAAATTGAGTCCCATCGACATTAGTCCCAATCTGTATTGCCATTTGATGCGTTGCTCTTTGAGAATTTAACTGATCATTTTGATCAACAATATTTACATTTATTAACAATGTGCACCTCGGCCTAAATAAACTTCTCATTCTGTATTTAGTACTTTAAATAAGTTTGGGATGTTTGAAGTTAACGTACCTGCAGGAGTCTTGCTGTTCTTAGTTTGTATCTTTATAGCTTGTTTAATTTATTGTACATTTTTTAGTCACTTTAGATAAAAGCGTCGGCTAAATGTAATATAATGTGTCCGATCAGGCACACGTGCACGTGATCCACGCTGCTTCATCATGTGTTAGGGCTGAGCTTTATTTCATTAGAGGGTCCGTTAGCACCACCTAGTGGACAGCTGGTAGAACTACATCACCTCTCACTGACTGGGTTTCTGACTGACGAGGAAGAGTTTCCTCCTCATATGAAGCCGTCTCAATTGACCTGAAGGGAATTCAGCAGGTGATAATAAGATAGAGATGCTTTTTTATTTGAGATTATAATTCCAACCAAGAAGTAACCTAACCTGACAAAGTATTTTTGTTTCTTAAAACTCAGTTCATCAGGTGAGAATCCTACCAGAGGAACCTGTAGGTGTTTTGATCATCAGGATCACTTTGATTAAATTGTTCTGTATCACCGTTTAAATGGACAGGACTAATGTTTCCTGATGCTGATTCTATAAATCTATCCTAAAGTATTGTGGAGAATGTCCCTCGGAGTGAAAGAAGAATGATTTTAGAAAGACTTCCTTGTAATAGTGCCAGCAGCTTTTGCCAGCGGTTTGATTGTAATCTGAGATATCATCAGCAGTGAGACATGCAGGCAGTGACTGATCCGGTCCAACAGCTCCGATCAATGTGACTGACGTGTTTTTTTAAAAAAAAGTTCAGCATTGAAGAGTATAAATAGCAGATGTGATATAACACCTTTTTGGTCTCCTCACATTCACTGTGTGTTTAGGGTCTTCATGTCTTTACTGATACTGCAGTCAGAGACGCTCCAGTGGAGTCTCATGTCAGCTGGACTTTGTATCTGAAACTGTTTGATGGAGCGTTGACTTTTCTGATGGGATGTTTGTGATAGCATGAGATATGTTAGTGGAGGGGTCCGTCTTCTGTTCTAGTATCAGCGTCTGAACTTCAGCAACGTAACTTAAAATGACAGCAGCACTGATCCAGGTTTTCAGTAACTGTCCAAGTCTATTTGAATTGTATTTCCCATCAACCAGTCTCTAAATACAGCCAGAGCCCATTCCCTTTAAACACTAGTGTTCTTCTTCTCTGTTTATTTACATATCTGTAAAATATCATATTCTCAAAGTATTCCATGGTGTTTTCTGACAGTTAAAATGTCTTTAAACTAAGTTAAACTGACCGGATCGATATGACAGCACAGGGTTCCTTGATCAGAGCATCCTGAGCAACTAACTACTATACAGAAATAACAGACCCACCAATCAGTATCCAGGATTTAACGTGGCCATTCAAAAAGTCACAAATCGTTGTAGAACAATGCGTTTTATCAAAAATGTTCACTAAAACTTCATCCAAAAAAAATGTTTACATGAATAAATACTTAACTCGCAATGTCCAACTTGGCCAATCAAATAACAACAACAAAAAAATGCATTTTTATTTGTATCACTCAATATGGTTTATCTTATTTGAAGCTTAAAGGTAGGGTAGGTAAGTTTGAGAAACCAGCTCGAGTGCTCTAGAATTTGAAAATACACAGCCGGAAAAAATCTGCCACTTCCTCACAGAGCCCCTCCTCCAACACACACGAACGCGCACATGACCAATGAGGGCACGAGATAAGTTTGTGCACAGATGGAAGGCTGACAGGCAGGTAGGCCATCCAGTTATTTTAGCCGGGCTATGATTGGTCGTGCTTTTTACAGTATTACGGCTTCCATTTTTTTATGGATTTTTTGTCAAAGCACTTCAGATATTCATTGCTATCGGGATGTTAAGAGCATTCCATGGAATATAACAAAAAGTATATCTCGAGCCGGTTTCTCAAACTTACCTACTGTACCCCACCTTTAAGTACTTGTAAGGCCAAAAACCCTAACCCTAATGTTTTTCTAACAAAGCCTTTTGCTTGAACTTCAACCATCCTCTTGTTGCCCTGTCTACTTAATGTGTAAATGTTTTTATTCAGATTTTTACTCTGCAGCACTTTGAGTTTTGTTTATTAAAATGAAAAGTGCGATTATAAATAACATTGATTTATTGTATTATTGGTGTAGGATCCATAGTTACAATTTTCTTGACTTTAACCTGGAAGAAATCCTAATAAAAGAACATATCTGTGTCTCCAGGCGTCCGCAGAGAGGACGGAGATCAGTCAATACTGTACGTCTGTGGAAACTCTTCATCACAGCTACACTAGGATGCTAATGAGATCACGTCAACTGTCAGAGTTAACATTTGTAAATTAGTGCTGAGCTTTATTTCATTGGATGATCAGTTACCACCATCTAGTGGACAGCTAGTAGAACTACACCATATCTCAAGTTGACTGGTTTCTTGTGCTTGTTGGACAGGTTGCTTGTGACTCATGTGTTTTGATGCTCTGAAGTTATGAGGGAGTGACGGCGTCCTCAGATCAGATGCAGGCAGACACAGGACTGATGAGGATGAGATGAGCAGTGATACATGAAGCATGAAGGTGTTTCAATTGACCTGAAGGACATTCAGAAGGTAAGAATATGATTTAAATGCTTTTTGGAAATTGGATAATTGGATAATTCCATCAAAGAAGTAACCTAACCTGAAAACATGTTTGTGTTTCCTAAAACTCATCAGGTGAGAATCCTACCAGAGGAACCTGTAAATGTTTGATCATCAGTATCACTTGTTCTGTATCACCGTTTAAATGTTTCTCGCTGCTAAATATCTATTCTAAAGTTTTGTGGAGAATGTTTTTCCAGAAAGACTTCCTTGTAAAGGTGACAATTTTTGGCAGCAGTTTGATTGTAATCTGAGTAAGTATCCTTAGTGCTGGGAGGAAATGTAAGAACCGGACTGACGGCTCGGATCAACGTGACTGAGATGTTTTTATTTCTTTATCTCTGAAGCGTACACATACCAGGCAGGTTATAAAACATCCTTTGTGGTCTCTTCACAGTCACTGTGGGTAGAGGGTCTTCATGTCTTTAATTATACTGCATACAGAGATGCTCCTGAAATCCTCTCCTATCCAAGTCAGCTCGTTGTGGGTGTACTTGAACACATTGAGACAACCTAACACCTATATGTTCAACATACAGTTGTTCTGGGTGAATACGGGGGCTGCGCAGCACGTGTTGGGGTCCCCGCATCCTGTCCAGGACTCCAGAATACCAGGATGTTCAACTGCAGCTGGTTGCATTTTGTAGTTTGTAAACCAGCATGCGTTTCTGGCTATTCTGACCCACAATCCTTTGCGGTGGATAAACAAGTGGGTAGTATGTCCCAATTGAATGCCTATTGCATGCAAGAGAACAAACTTTGTAACTGCAGTGGCAGAACTTATGAAGAGGAAAAATAAAAAGTATATCATCTCTTAACCCTACCCCTAACCCTAACCCTAACCCCTAACCCTAACCCTAACCCTAACCCTAACCTCCACAGCAGATATGCCGCTCGTCCATTAACTTCTCTCATTCTTGATATTGCTGATAAACACACTTCATTGTAAATCTCCATAGATAAATACATTGTGTTTGATTTAGTATAAGCTCACACAGACTCCCTTCTTGTTCATTCCCAGATCCAGTGTGTGACAGAGAGGAAGGAGCAGTAATGAGCATGTTGTTGTGTTTGTGTTTAGGTACGACACCACAACAGATCCACCAGGAATCTACAGAGGACGTTTGAACCTGCCAACCTGCAAGATGGAAACCACTGATCCAAAGTTATTATTTATCTTATCAGTATTAATATATTCAAAAGTCAGCTTCATGTTCAGCAGAGTTTCAGTGCACCTTTGCATTCATCATGTTTTTGATTCTATCAGGATCCACCATGAGAGACCAGACTCTCCTGGACCTGGACCCAGCTGTTTGTCCATGAAGAGTGATCGGTCTATGCCTCAACCTATTACGTTTAAAGATAGAGAGCATAGTGATGGACCAAGGTTTGAATTCAAGTTATTTTTGTTGTTCGCTTTTAAAACTTTATTATTTCTCCATCATTCTCAGCTGCATTTTATTTGCTGCACATTGTAAAGGAGTTCTTGAAGCAAAGAACTGAACCACAAGCAGAACACAGCAGAGCTTCAAACTGATGTCAGACACTGAAGATTTATTGCAATGCTTTTAATTCATGTCATATCATTTTTCTTTAGCTAAATAATGAAAACGGGTCCCACAGACCCGAACACCATACAAGGGTTAATGATACTGCATATAGAGACGCTCCAGTGGAGTCTCATGTCAGCTGGACTTTGTATCTGAAATCCTCTCCTATCCAAGTCAGTTCATTGTGGGTGCACTTTAACACATTGTGACAACCTAACACCTATATGTTCAACATAGAGTTTTTCTGGGTGATTACGGGGGCTGTGCAGCACGTGTTGGGGTCCCTGCATCCTGTCCAGGACTCCAGAATACCAGGATGTTCAACTGCAGCTGGTTGCATTGTGTAGTTTGTAAACCAGCATGCTTTTCTGGCTATTCTGACCCACAATCCTTTGCTGTGGATCAACAAGTGGGTAGTATGTCCCAATTGAATGCCTATTGCATGCAAGAGAACACTTTGTAACTGCAGTGGCAGAACTTATGAAAAAATAAAATAAAAAGTATATCATTTCCTAACCCTAATTTATATTGTAGTATTTATCTTTGTATTATTTATTATTTATACATATTTCCTATCTATTATTTTATAAATCCTCCTCATCTGGACTCTTTTATGAATTTTAAATGCATGGGTTTTATTGTTTATTATTATCACTACCTTTTTATATATTTTTCTTATATTTTATCTAATATTATTTATATTTAAATGTCACAGTTTATTCTATGTTTGCACTGTATTGCATGTTTTCTTATTTCATTAGGATCTAAATGAGGAGGTTATATCTTTATCCTTTTTTATATATTATTAATCCCCGTTTCCTATTTAAACATTGTTTATATTATTTTATTTATATTTTAGTTATTACTTTCCATTGTATTGTAAATGGATGCTGGAGCCTCCCTCAGGGAAACACCCTGAAATAACCCCTTAATAAAGTATTTCTAAACAAACTTTTACCAGATGTTGTGGGACACAGCCTCGGACACCCCACCAGGGGAGACCCCCTCAGGGGGGTAGGAGTACAGGTTCTAACCCCGCCACACACGCTCTGTGCTGCAGCCGCTGCTCTCTTTCATCCCTTTTATTGCATTTTCTTTATTTCATTAAAACATTTTTAACACAGATCAAACAGGGCTTTTATAAACTTGTGTTGGTTTTATTACATACATTTTTTTATAGGTTTTTTAAACAAAAAATATTTACCCGAGAGCCCGTGCACCACGCTGCGCTGCCCAAAACCCTAACCCTAACCCTAACCCTAACCCTAACCCTAACCCTAACCCTTACCTTCACAGCAGATATGCCGCTCGTCCATTGACTTCTCTCATTCTTGATATTGCTGATGAACACTCTTCATTGTAAATCTCCAGAGATAAATACATTGTGTTTGATTTAGTATAAGCTCACACAGACTCCCTTCTTGTTCATTCCCAGATCCAGTGTGTGACAGAGAGGAAGGAGCAGTAATGAGCATGTTGTTGTGTTTGTGTTTAGGTTCGACACCACAACAGATCCACCAGGAATCTACAGAGGACGTTTGAACCTGCCAACCTGCAAGATGGAAACCACTGATCCAAAGTTATTATTTATCTTATCAGTATTAACATATTCAAAAGTCAGCTTCATGTTCAGCAGAGTTTCAGTGCACCTTTGCATTCATCATGTTTTTGATTCTATCAGGATCCACCATGAGGGACCAGACTCTCCTGGACCTGGACCCAGCAGTGATTCCATGGAGAGTGAGTCGTCTATTACGTCTGAAGATGAAGAGCAATTTGATCTACAGTAAGAATTTAGAGCATAAGTCATTTTTGTTGAGCGCCATTAAATGTTTTAAACTCTACATAATTCTCAGACGCATTTCAGTCTCTTTCTCTGTCTGCCCAGCCTGCATTTTATATTTTGTTGTTTTACCTTATTGAGTGTTTCTTTGATGCAGTGTAAAGTGTTCTTTGGTGTCTTGAAAGGCACCTCCAAATATAAAAATGTATTGTTATTATTATTTATTAGTCAGATGTTTACTCTCTGACTCATGGCATATATTGAGTCCTATCAGTGTCTGAAGGAGAGAATGTTTACAACCTTTCTTTATGCATATTAAGAAGTAAGAAAGGGGTCATCTCTTAACCCAGCTGATGAAGACAGCCTCAGGAAACAGCCGCCAGCAAATCTTCATACAATAGGGCGCCCAAACCCCAAGGCCTAATAACTGCTGTCTGTACAGACAATTACATTACATGTCACTTGTTAGACGCTTTGAGTGTGTAAGTTGCTTTTATCCAAAGCGACTTACATACTCAACACTGTGGACAATCCCCACAGGAGCAATTTGGGGTGAAGTGTCTCAGGGACACAACGACATGCTGACTGCAGTGGGGTTTGAACCTGTGACCCCCTGATCCAAACACCAAGTCTCTATCCACTGCACCACACGCCTCCACAATCAAGTGTAATCATTCTCTATTACACTTTTATCAGTGATTGTGTTTCTATAAGGATCCACCATCTGAGAGCAGTCCACTGCACATTACATTATTCTGAATATTTTACTTAGAAAAATTAAATGACCATGGAAATAGTTTTTTAAGCTGTATGTCCGGTTTGAAGGAGGATCTTCTAACACAGTTCATGTAACTCTTAGTTTCTGTCTTTGTTTTAAAATCCTCCTCTTTGCTCCACAGAGTTCATCAGCAGAGATCAGAGGGTCCTGGTGGTCCGTCTGCCCAGCAGCATCAAACTCACCTGGACTCCATACTTATGGTGAGTGTGTGGCTCCCTCCAGTTAAAGACTGGATATTATTAAAAATAAACAATGAATGAAATCCATGTTTTTCAATAACCTATTTATAACTCTAAAAGCTGTTCAATAGAGAGAGCTGACACATTTATACCATTAGTACGCTAACACACGAACACACACACTATGACACAACTTTTTGTGGAGAATAGGAAGATTTGTTCAGGGCTCACCGGGGAAATGTATATATACTACGTACTGTATGTTACTAAAGAGGTTTTAGATTGGCAAGTGTCCATGTGAAGTTATCGCCATCTCTCGGTGTGAAAACAGTACTTCCGGTGTCGGCGTTTCTATAGTAACGTGGTTGCTAGGGACGCAGCTCTCGCTGCATACACCCGGAAATGAGTGATCTCGTCACTGTAGATTGATTTCACAGTGATATCTGCTGTACTCATCAACTAAAAAACATCAGTGTGTCCTTGTTCATTACACAACATTCATTGGTTTGAATTGGTTACAATGCTCTTGTGTTTTTCTCCTTCGATTCTGAGAGACACATTTATTTTTTCAGCGTTTTGGACAGCCGGAAACATCTAATTACCCATAATCCTCAGCTATCATTGAAGCTCGGTGATTGGATGTTTTAGCCGCAATGCACATTGGGATATGGTGTTTATGCAATATGAAACTGGACACTGCCACCGAAACTGAATACGTGACGTGGATCATAAATATATCAGCAATTAAACAACATCTTCAATTTCTCTTCACACAATACGTCTCCTTGCAGTATCAATACTAATTCGGCTGACTTTCATATTTGATCAAATCGTAGATAGGCTTTTAAAAAGCCTTATCAGCAAACCTCTTTGCATACCAAAAAGAAACTACAAATATGGTGTAGTTTTGTATCACTGTACGAAGCTGATCTAATGGGAGTTATAGTTTTTAAAGAATGTAAATACTGAGTTGAGAGAATGGTCAGGGGTCTTAGGTGATGGGAGACACATCTATGGAATCAAAATTGCAATATCTAAACGTTAAAAGACCAAAAATAATAACTTTTCGCCCTATTTTACAATCATATTAAGGCATTTTCTATCATTTAATTGTATTAACTTGTTACGAACAGTGAAGCATCAAGTCACAGCTTGGAGCTGGATACCAAATGGTCAAAGTTCCTTTCTCGCATTACAACGTATTCGGCATTTATCTCCTATTTAGAGTGTCACTGTGAAGTTAGCCGTTACTCTGAGGGGTCAGAGCCGTCTCCATGTCTGATTCACGCTACATTTTACTCTGTTCCAGCTGATGGAGGAGAACATCGTCACTTTTGTGAAGAACGAGCTGAAGAAGATCCAGACAGTCCTGACTTCAGATTACCCAGAATGCTTAGAGAGTCAGAGGGAGGATGAGGAGGTGTTGGACGGTGAGGATGAAGAGCAGAGGAGCAGCAGAGAGGCCTTTCTGAGCATCTCACTGCACTTCCTGAGGAGCATGAAGCAGGAGGAGCTGGCTGAGCGTCTGCAGAGCAGTAAGAGGATTTAACACATTTAACATGATGGAGAGGAGATGGAGGAAAGATGGGAGGAGGTTCACTTTATAAAACATAGTCTTTAATCAGTGAATACGCTTATTGGTTACTACTGGTACTAAAACATTAGTGAAGGAAGTAACAATAAAGAGATCAAAACGTTGCGCTGTAAATATTTTTGTTACGGGTACATTACTAATAAACGGAGCAGAACAGTTAACTATGTTGATATAAAACTTGTGAACGTTAACTTTCACCATTAACCTGTTAAGCCCGAGAGCCCCCGGTACCGACGGCCTCGCAGTATTTTTTCTGAGCACCGATGTCTCAGGAATTTTAAGAATTAAAAAAATGTATGAAACTATTAATGTTGCATACTCAAATAACCGGAAGAAACTCAGCTATATAAACCATTTATTTCCGAAATAAAACACAAGTCTCACAAAAATCCCAAATGAGCCTAAATGAGCCCTGAGAGAAAAAATGCTAACACACTTAGCACAACACTCACACGGTAAAATAGCCTTTTTACTTATAATTTCTGCACAAACAAGACATCGATTCGCATCGTGAGAAGACACAGAATCGTTTGGTACATACATTATCACTCTATGATAAGAACTCGAGATAATAACAAGAACAGACATCAAAACATGTGGCGCTAGGTAGCTAAAACCGGCAACATGGCCTACCTTGGTCGTTGTCTGGTCAAAACTGGTCTTCAATGGCATTAAAACGATAAAAACGCTGCTGAAGTTAATCCATAGGTTAATCCAATGTGTATGTGTCACTTTGAAATTATTTCTGATAATCCATAAACAATAAACTGTGGTGCCGAGAGATAGGAGTCGGAGGCGGTGCATCGAAGATGCAAATGGGAACTTTAATGAGCAGCAGAAACGGACATGTTGTCGGGTCGCAGCCCGGGAAGAGAAGAAAGAAGCCAGGAGGGCACACAATAAATACAATCGGCAACACATATGTCCGTGCGGAAACAATACCCCCCCACCTGTATTTCCATGAGTGAATTATGTACATGAGTAAATTAGTGATCACTACACAAGCCCCCCCAGAATTCAACCATGGACACAATCCTCGCGTCCGGGAGGAAGCACCACAGGGGCCGAGGAGGGCGGGGCCGCAGGCGAGGGCCGGGGCATGGAACGGGTCATCGGAAGGGGGCCACAGGAGAGGGTAGGGGCCCTAACGAGGGCATCCCCACGGGGGGTGGGGGGCGGGCCGGAACGGGCTGTCGTCAGGGGGCCGCAGAAAGCAGGGTCGCTGTGTGGCAACGTGGGGACGGGCGTGAATATCCCGGTGGTCCCCAGCAGGGAGGAGCGCTGCCCGGCCGCAGGCAAAGGCACAGCGGCGGCGGGCATGAAGTCCCCGGAAAGATGGAGCAGTATCCCCGGGAGGAAGGAACCGTGGACAGGGGAGAGGCCAGACGGGGCGACGTCCGAAGCCGCCGTCGAGGCAAACCGTGAGCCGCGGTTAGAGGAGAGGCCAGGCAGGGTCCGCGATGAAGGCGCGGGCGACGCCCGAAGCTGCTGCCGAGGGGAAGGAAGAGGCCAGACAGGGTTCCGAAGCGCGCCACCCACGGGCCGATGAAGGCATGGGCGACGTCCAAAACTGTTGAGGCGAGACGGGATCCAGAAGCGCGCCACCCAGGCGCCTAAGAAAGCGTGGGCGACGTCCGAAGCTGCCGTCGAGGTGGTGAAAAAGCGAGAGGGTCCAAACGAGGACGACCAGACATGGACGAACCTCCTCTCAGGCACCAGAAAAAAAACTCAAAAATGGTCGTCCTGTCCACGATTAAAAACAGGTGGGCAAAATTGTGAGAGGATCCACACGAGGCCAACCAGACTTGATCAAACCTCCTCTCCGGCACCACAAAAAAAAAAAGGGGTAACAGTTGGATGCCGACATGGAAGCAGTCAGCCGGTAGCTGCTGGCCGGTAACTGTTAGTCGTCAGCTGTCCGTTAGCTGTTAGCTGTCCGTTAGCCGTGTTAGCGAGCGCAGCAGGACATGCAGCCGCATGTCCCGAATAAACCAGGCATGGTCGTGTATCGTCTCCATGGAAGGCTTGCTGTCCCCCAGTGCCGAAACGCTGTGGAAATGGCGAGTGTCGACCGCGGCCATTCCCGAGGGCGCACTGAGCCTCAGTCCGTGTACACGATGCAGCCACGGACGTCCCCAAAAATCTCCGGCATTTCGAGAAAAACAGTGTTTGTTTTTGCCGTGTTCGGTTCAGTCTCGGATCCTTCGCGAGACTTATGTCGGGGTCACCAATGTAGTGCCGAGAGATAGGAGTCGGAGGCGGTGCATCGAAGGTGCAAATGGGAACTTTAATGAGCAGCAGAAATGGACATGTTGTCGGGTCGCAGCCCGGGAAGAGAAGAAAGAAGCCAGGAGGGCACACAATAAATACAATCGGCAACACATATGTCCGTGCGGAAACAATACCCCCCCCACCTGTAGTTCCATGAGTGAATTATGTACATGAGTAAATTAGTGATCACTACAAAACCCTGCTTTTCCGTTTCCAGATGTCAGAGCGAGAGATAGCTTCACTCTCATGCAAAACTACATGCGCAAAGCCCCCACCTTTTTGTGTTAACGTTGGTGTCTATGTGAAAACTCCCCTTCGATTCTATTGGCTCTAACGGTCAGAAAGAGATGTTAATCACCAAAATGGGTTCCAGAGAAACGGTAACAAAGGCCATATCCACCCAAATCACCTCAGAGGTGGAGTGTGGTCAAATGTCACTTGTTTTGCATCAATCTTGATACAGGGTACTTATCATATGTTGTACTTTGTACTAAAGCTTTTAGTCTACTAACCCATCATCCAAGGGTAGTTTTCACTATAAGTAAAAAAGAATTTTTGGACGGACACAATAATTTAAATTTCTTTACTATGTTCAATCTGCATTTACTTTAAAATAAAAAACATCTATATTGATTCTGACTTTTCTACATCCAACTCACAGGTTTATCATTACTTTGAGAACAAAGATTATTAATTTAACCCTTTTAGAAGGGAAGATATGGTCATTTGTTCTGGGAATGTCCTTTTCGAGCCTGAGACCTGAAAAACAGGCTCAGGGCTTAACAGGTTAATCGGGAAACCTTAACACGCTAAAAATAGCGCAAATGAATCACTTTACCAAATTTGATGTATTTTGTTGACGCTGACTGACATCTTACTTTTTCAACCTGGTCTCACCAGAATGCGTGACTCCACCACGACTCCTTAACACCGCAGTGCGTGGTGGAGTCACGAACTTTGCTACATTTACGTGTCTGCACCACGCAAACAACCCCAATGTAAAGTGAATGAGGCTCCTTTGTCGTGGTGCACACACGCATTTCTACAACGTCCAGCAGTGAGCTTTTATTCTATAAAACGTTTTTAAAATCTACTTTATAGCTTGTAGTAACTCACAGGAGGCTTCTTTTATTTTATTTGTATTCATAATCATTTTTATTTTTCGTCAGAATGTATTATGGTGCATTATTTACCAATGTTTGTTCTCAAAAAACAATGTATTGTAAGTAATACAACTGTGATTTTTATTAAATTAGTTCGTTTTTAAGGAAGGCGAGAGCTTCAGCTGTGTCAAAGAGATTGTTCCCTTTAGTTAACGTTATTTAAAAGATAATTATATTCCTATTTGATCATGTCCCCTTTATTGTATTACGGACCCAAAGAGCTGAGCGTCCATTCCCATTGGATAACAGAGCATTTTACACCCGGAAGTAAGTATTCTCCTTAATGTCGATTGATTTTGGGCATGTCATTTTCGAGCCTGAAACATGAAAAACAGGCTTGGTGCTTAACAGGTTAAATAACGTTAACTAAAGGGAACAATCTATTTGACACAGCTGAAGCTCTGGCCTTCCTTAAAAATTAACTCATTTAATAAAAATCACAGTTGTATTACACACAATGCACTGTTTTTTGAGAACAAACATTGGTGAATAATGCACCATAATACATTCTGACGAAAAATAAAAATGATTATGAATACAAATAAAATAAAAGAAGCCTCCCGTGAGTTACTACAAGCTATAAAGTAGATTTTAAAAACGTTTTATAGAATAAAAGCTCACTGCTGGACGTTGTAGAAATGCGTGTGTGCACCACGACAAAGGAGCCTCATTCACTTTACATTGGGGTTGTTTGCGTGGTGCAGACACGTAAATGTAACAAAGTTCGTGACTCCACCACGCAATGCGGTGTTAAGGAGTCGTGGTGGAGTCACGCATTCTGGTGAGATCAGGTTGTACTTTTTAATTACATTTCTTGTTTGTCCACTCAGGAACTGCTCCTGCAGTCTGCAGACGTAAACTCAAATCCACGCTGAAGGAGAGGTTCCAGTGTGTGTTTGAGGGCATTGCTAAAGCAGGAAACCCAACCCTTCTGAACCAGATCTACACAGAGCTCTACATCACAGAGGGGGGGGTCTGCAGAGGTCAATGAGGAACATGAGGTCAGACAGATTGAAATAGCATCCAGGAAACCACACAGACCAGAAACAACCATCAGACAAGAAGACCTCTTTAAAGCCTCACCTGGAAGAGATGCACCAATCAGAGCAGTGATGACAAAGGGCGTGGCTGGCATTGGGAAAACAGTCTTAACACAGAAGTTCACTCTGGACTGGGCTGAAGGCAAAGCCAACCAGGACATCCAGTTCACATTTCCATTCACCTTCAGAGAGCTGAATGTGGTGAGAGAGAACAAGTACAGCTTGGTGGAACTTGTTCATCACTTCTTCTCTGAAACCAGAGACGCAGGAATCTGCAGGTTTGATCAGTTCCCGGTTGTGTTCATCTTGGACGGTCTGGATGAGTGTCGACTTCCTCTGGACTTCCACAACAATGAGATCCTGACTGACGTCACAGAGTCCACCTCAGTGGATGTGCTGCTGACAAACCTCATTAGGGGGAAGCTGCTTCCCTCTGCTCGCCTCTGGATAACCACACGACCTGCAGCAGCCAATCAGATCCCTCCTGAGTGTGTGGACATGGTGACAGAGGTCCGAGGGTTCACTGACCCACAGAAGGAGGAGTACTTCAGGAAGAGATTCAGAGATCAGGAGCAGGCCGGCACCATCATCTCCCACATCAAGACCTCACGAAGCCTCCACATCATGTGCCACATCCCAGTCTTCTGCTGGATCTCTGCTTCAGTTCTGGAGGGGGTGTTGAAAACCAGAGAGGGAGGAGAGCTGCCCAAGACCCTGACTGAGATGTACATCCACTTCCTGGTGGTTCAGTCCAAAGTGAAGAACATCAAGTATGATGGAGGAGCTGAGACAGATCCACACTGGAGTCCAGAGAGCAAGAAGATGATGGAGTCTCTGGGAAAACTAGCTTTTGAGCAGCTGCTGAAAGGCAACCTGATCTTCTATGAGTCCGACCTGACAGAGTGTGGCCTCGATATCACAGCAGCCTCAGTGTACTCAGGAGTGTTCACACAGGTCTTTAGAGAGGAGAGAGGACTGTACCAGGACAAGGTGTTCTGCTTCGTCCATCTGAGCGTTCAGGAGTTTCTGGCTGCTCTTCATGTCCATCTGACCTTCATCAACTCTGGAGTCAACCTGCTGAAAGAAGAACTAACAACCTCCTGGTGGCCTAAATTCAAACCTACACTAACAAATCTCTACCAGAGTGCTGTGGACAAGGCCTTACAGAGTCCCAACGGACACCTGGACTTGTTCCTCCGCTTCTTGCTGGGTCTTTCTCTGCAGACCAATCAGACTCTCCTACGAGGCCTGCTGACACAGACAGGAAGTGGCTCAGAGATCAAAAAGGAAACAGTCCAGTACATCAAGAAGAAGATGGATGAGGATCTGTCTCCAGAGAGAAGCATCAACCTGTTCCACTGTCTGAATGAACTCAATGATCGTTCTCTAGTGGAGCAGATCCAACAGTCCCTGAGATCAGGAAGTCTCTCCACAGATAATCTGTCTCCTGCTCAGTGGTCAGCTCTGGTCTTCATCTTACTGTCATCAGGAGAAGATCTTGACGTGTTTGACCTGAAGAAATACTCTGCTTCAGAGGAGGCTCTTCTGAGGCTGCTGCCAGTGGTCAAAGCCTCCAACAAAGCTCTGTGAGTGGATGGATGAATAAAAGGATTACGAACATTATCCAACTTATTTATATGTCATAGATGAGAAATAATACATTTTTTTTTGTATTTATTTTAAAAAATCCTTCAGGCTGAGTGGCTGTAACCTGTCAGAGAGAAGCTGTGAAGCTCTGTCCTCAGTCCTCAGCTCCCAGTCCTCTAGTCTGAGAGATCTGGACCTGAGTAACAACGACCTGAAGGATTCAGGAGTGAAGAACCTGTGTGCTGGACTAGAGAGTCTACCCTGTTCTCTGGAAACTATTAGGTAGGTGTAAAATAGTTTAAAGTAAGGGTCCTCTGAGCTCTCTTTTTCATGCATTACTTGTTTTTTGGTCTGATGAAAATCCTCTTTCAGGCTGAGCGTCTGTAACCTGTCAGAGAAAAGCTGTGAAGCTCTGTCCTCAGTCCTCAGCTCCCAGTCCTCTAGTCTGAGAGAGCTGGACCTGAGTAACAACGACCTGAAGGATTCAGGAGTGAAGAACCTGTGTGCTGGACTAGAGAGTCCACACTGTGAACTGGAAACTCTCAGGTCAGTATTCTGCAGTTTATTTTGAGTTTACCCCTTACGATTGCATTGGATTAATATATTTAATTATTCAAATGACTTATTAAAAAGCCTCTTTGGACTAAGGGGCACCAATATTCAAGGGTTTTTGTGTTTTCACTACTCGAGACTTTCAGGTTGGATGAGAAGATTATTCATTTTTACACAGTAATTATTAATGCTGTTCTTAACTATTTATTTAAATGATGCAGCCCCAATGGGACTACATGTGTTGTTTTTTATTTCACACGATTTATCCCATATCACTCTGAAAAGCATATTGAAATAGGGTGTGTTGGACTGGATTGGAAACTCCAAAGTAGGCCATCAGTAAAAGGCAGTGACGAGCCGTGACTTTTATACCTAGGCCCTCTGATCTATCGATTAGATTTATGATTAGAAAATTATAAAAGTAGGGTAGACATGTGGATATTATCCGGCCGAACAAAACGTGCATTTATCTAACAGGTTCGTTCCACAGACCTTATTTCGAGCTATTTTCCAAAATCCTATGGAGAAATCCCATTGCTTTTGTGTCGAGGGAACCAGCAGCTTACTTCCGGGTTTTAGGAGGCGTCACTGCACCACTTGCATAAACTTCACAGCGGGAGGAACTTGTCATAAAGTCCGCGAAAATAAAGCCCACCCATTTAGAGGGAAGATATGATTGGTCAATTGTACTGTCATTTGACATTACTCTCTCATTGAGTTACTATAGCGGGCCCTCTGTGAATTGTACAACAAGCTCTCCCGTCTAACTCGCAGAGACGGCATTTAACCCTTCACATTCCAACAGAAACTGAACAGGCAGATTCGAAGGATTTATTTATTTGGAAATGTTATTTTAAATACAATGAAATCAAGTTATTTTGGTAAAACTAATACAAAATATTAAAAAAAAAATATTAAAAGAAAAATGTTTTTTTTTTAATGTTTTCAAATATTATTTTTTAGAAGATCTTAGGCCGAGGGCCCTGACGGCCCACCACTGGTAAAAGGTGACCATTAGTAAAGTGTGTGTGTGTGTGTGTGTGTGTGTGTGTGTGTGTGTGTGTGTGTGTGTGTGTGTGTGTGTGTGTGTGTGTGTGTGTGTGTGTGTGTGTGTGTGTGTGTGTGTAGGCTCTCAGGTTGTCTGGTCACAAACAAAGGCTTTGCTTCTCTCGCCTCGGCTCTGAGCTCCAACCTCTCCCATCTGAGAGAGCTTGACCTGCGCTACAATCATCAAGGAGACTCAGGAGAGAAGATGCTGTCTGCTCTACAGGAGGATCCAGACTGCAGACTGGAGACTCTCAGGTATGGACAAACCTCACTCTCTGTCTCGGTTTCTTCTTAGGTCCTGATTTGTTAAATCTCAACAATTCCTGAATATTTTGAGATAAATTTAAGCTCAGACATGAATGATTATTAGATTCATCCAGATCTTTTGACTTTAATTATAGCACTACCAGAAGGTTTAAACCTGTGTAGTTTAGGGAAGAACAATGTTTGATAAAATGTGTAACACACATGAGAACACCTGTTCATAAACATAAGATACAATCATGCATATTCAAACTAGAGACCATCTCGCTGGATCCCTCAATTAGAACGTAACAATGGGGGCCAATGGCCCTTTCGACCTCCTTGCTCCGATTCAACCCATCTTCAAATGAATTTAGACTTTTTATTAATAACATTAAACATCTTTTCACCTTTTAGCTTATTGTATTCTCTGATAACTTAAAAATGATGCCTTAATATGACATTTGAAATGTTGACAGTCCTTTAACTGATGTGTGAAATGTCCTTGATCATTCAGACTGTTTCTTCCTCCAGGTTTGACCATTGTGGAGAGGACAGGTTAAAACCTGATGTGAGGAAATGTAAGTGTGGATTTAGGTTGATTATGATGACAAAACAGTCAGTTGTCATATGTATTCATTATCACATTACTGACAAGATTATATATATTATCACATTTATACAAATACATATAATAAACAGCACCTCTACAAAAACAAAGGGAAAAAGCCTTCATATGTGTTTTATGATAAACAGATGCTGTGATTTTCTCTTAACATCAGATTCCTGTGAACTCACACTGGACACAAACACAGCACGCAGAAGACTCAAACTGTCTGACAGCAACAGGGAGGTGACACGTGTGAAAAAGAAGCGGCGATATCCTGATCATCCAGAGAGATTTGTCTCCTGGCCTCAGCTGATGTGTAGAGAAGCTCTGACTGGTCTGTGTTACTGGGAGGTTGAGTGGAAAGGGAAGGTTTATATAGCAGTGACTTACAGAGGAATCAGCAGGAGAGGAGACAGTGAAGACTCTAAGTTTGGAGAGAATGATCAGTCCTGGAGTCTGGAGTGCTCTAATGGAGAGTTTTCTGTCAGACACAATAAAAGTAAAACAGTCCTGCCTCTCCCCTCCTCCCCCTCCTCCTCCTCCTCCTCCCCCTCCTCCCCGTCCTCCTCCTCCCTCCTCCCCCTCCTCCCCCTCCTCCCCCTCCTCTCCCTCCTCCTCCTCTGGTAGAGTAGCAGTGTATCTGGATCATCCTGCTGGCTCTCTCTCCTTCTACAGAGTCTCCTCTGACACACTGATCCACCTCCACACCTTCAGAACCACATTCACTGAACCTCTGTATGCTGGGTTTGGGCTCTGGTCACATGACTCCTCAGTGTCTCTGTGTTCTCTGTAGGAGGAGACCACTTCCTGTCCAGCTGTAATGTCCCTGGTCTCGGGGGACATGGACATAACATGAGTGTAGCAAGAGATATCGTCTAGTCGTGTGGTTAAAATGTTGGTAGTGACGCGGCTACACTTTGGTTGTGCCTTTACGTGGAGGAGCAGCATGTAGTTATAATGCTCCGTATATCTGCAGAAACTCCCAGTAATCAAGTGTCTCACACTTTTTGATAAATGTTTTTCAATGTATTCAAATGTGTTTTTTAAATGTTTCTTTTGCACTTTGTCGTAAGTATTTTAATGTTTTTGTAAAGCCTTTTGAATTGCCTTGTTGATATGTGCTGTATAGATACACTTTCTTTTATTGGCAGAAATCTTTATTTTCTTTGTAAAATGGTGAAATGATCTCCTCGGGGCTGAACTTGTTGTGTACAAACTGCTGTGACATATATGCAGTTTAATAAAGCTTTATTTAGAGCAGCATCTAATAGCTCCTAATACTCTATGTAAAATGTTTATTGAGTTCAATAAAGGTTTGAAGACAAAACAATCTGTCAATGATCTCATGACTGAAGACATTTCTTTTGCACCCAACTTCTTTTCAAAAGTGTATATAGTTATAAATTGTTACAAAGGTCTTCCCTAACGTAGAAACTGTAAGAAGTGCTTGATTGCTCACTGAGATGCAGGGCAGTTAGAGTAAATGAACTGCATGGTAAATGGATATATAAAGATCTTTTCCAGTCTTTGCCAACCAGCTTGACTTGATAGCAGTACATTGAGAAGGCCCACAATGAAAAGTGTCTCTGAACATCATCTCTCAGAATGATGCATTTGCTTGTAGACCTGTGTGTGTTCTCCTGTCATCTCTCAGTGGCTGACTGCACACCACATGAAGCTCAACCTAAACAAGCCTTAACTGCACAGAAGTCTCATTGTGGCTGCTCCCAGGCCTACACATAGCACTATCACTAGATATTATATTCCACTCAAAGCCACGCTGCTTAAAGGGAATGGTTTATTAAGCCCGATCCCAAACTGCACAGAATGGCTCATTGGTGCTGGTCCCTGCCCTACACCAGTGGTGAACAGTCAGGGCATTCAAGGTATTCAGAAAATGTCCTGAAACACTCAGATAAAACAAACAAATGTTTGTATTTAATTATATAAATAAACATTTTATAAAATGTCAATAAAATGAATAAATGAGAATGGTATCTGTGTTGTTGATCTGTAATATTACAGTGTTACGTTGATTTGTTTCTCCTTCTCGGATCATGCACTTTGCATTTCAGTGGTTTTGTGTTAGAAAAGAAATGCAACCAATCAGATATGTTTCTGGGTCTCTGGGTAGAATATCCTTCAACCAGGTATTCTATATCCTTGATAGAAGGCCCTGGCCCTCACACTGAATGAGAGCCTTTGGATTGACAGGTTGATCAACCAATCATATATTGATTTGTAGCCAATGGGCGTGTTCTTTCAGAGTTTCCCTCAGTTCCAGGTGCTCTAGAAGACCCGTTAACTGGAGAGAGACAGAGGATCTAGAGAAATGCGACGTAGCAATTAATTTGAAGTTGTATTGTTTTTAACGTTGAAATGGCAGCAGGTGAAGATGATGTTGTTGCGGAATTGTTGTCAGTACCCTTTACAAGACGACCATTCAGTGAAAAGACGGACATTATAACGGTGGGGGGTGTGTGTGTCTACAGAAGGTCCAGTTGTGATAGACACGGTTCGCCACTGTCAGAGGTTGATAGGCTAACATAGGTTTGATACTGACTTGTCAATAGCTTTCATAACAAGTCCTCTAACACAGGGAATAATTCAACAGCCACACAGAGCCAAAAGTCCTATCACAGTGATTAGAGAGGTGAGAATAGCTAAAATCACCGCTTTCCATTTAACAAGCCATCAAACCAGCCTGTAGGTGAAGTTTCTACCCAGAGTGTTCAGCTAACTCTGAGTGACCTAAGCTCAGCTGAAGCTTTAGTGACAGACATAATAAATATAATTTATCATATCAACATTTGTATTAATAGTTACCCAAAAGAAGAGTGATAAGAGCTCCGCCAATATCTGATTTCTAGCTCTAAACTCCTCTGGCACTCCCCTAGGAACGCCTATGCATGCATGTAATCTCTGTCGTCGAAAGAGGCCAACGGTGCATCCCTTTTCTCTCGGGAGGGTTTGAAATTCAGATCTTTAATTTGACCTATCATCACAGGCATAATTAACATCACTGGGGTTCATCTACTCAACCAATTACTTGGGAGTATCAAAACAAAACAGAGTGACGTGAAAACCTGTGTAACCGGTGTCAGAAACCCAGTCAGTGTTAGTGGTGATGCAGTTCCAATAGCTGTCCACTAGATGGTTCTAAATGACTTCGAATTGTGATCTCTTATTTCAGACAAGTGGAAAGAAAACATCCAAAGTCGACATTTACTTTTTTATTTTTATTTATACTTTTCTATCTTTGTGTTTGTAGATTGTTCCTAAAGTCACCAAAAGTTAGAATATCATAAAGCCTCATTTGCATATTCAAAAATAACATTAAATAATTGTCTTGTCCTGTCTCTTTGTTTGATTTCAGGTGATCCAGGTCGTCAGCTAGTGTTGTCAGAACAGTAGAATGTGCAGCACTTAGATTGTAATCTTCATTTCCTGTCATCTGTGAAAAATGAAGGAAGTGTCAGAACAGGTCTTAAAAACTGATCAATGTGACTGAGGGACTATTATTTTTCAACACCTAATGTAACGTGCAGGCATTGGGTGAGCAGGGTTCAAATACTGCTATCTGTTACGAAATGGCATTCCTCAATTAGTCCCAAAACAAAGGAATGTCCTTACGTAGATTGAAAACAGAACAAAATTGCTCAAAATGTTCGATTTAAATGACCAAGTCTCTCCTTTTAACTTCTGTCATAATTTAAGGATTTAAAAACACAGACATTAATTTATCTCTGCCACCATAAATCCCCTAAAACCATTTTATAATATGAGGGTGAAATACAAAAATATTGTGGTACTGTAACAGAATACAATGTAATTTGTTACAGGTTTTTTTAGGTTTGGGATTACACATTTGAGGATGAATATAACTAGGCAGTTACCTAACCTATGCAAGTAGTATGGTTGCCTAAACATAACACATGTATGGATATTTCACATGAAAAGCTTTTAAAATGAAGATACAAAGTTTTTACAGGGGCAGAGGAGTACATTTGCCATTAACCTGTTAAGCCCTGAGCCTGTCTTTTAGGTCTCAGGCTCGAAAATGACATTCCCAGAACAAATGACCATATCTTCCCTTCTAAAAGGGTTAAAGTAATAATATTTGTTCTCAAAGTAATGATAAACCTGTGAGTTGGATGTAGAAAAGTCAGAATCAATATAGATGTTTTTTATTTTAAAGAAAATTCAGATTTTACATAGTAAAAAACTGTAAATTATAGTGTCCGTCCAAAAATTCTTTTTTACTTATAGTGAAAACACCCTTGGATGATGGAAAGGTAGACTAAAAGCTTTAGGAATCCAAAGTACAACATATAATAAGTACCCTGTGTTAAGGAATAATTCTTCTAGATATCTAACCTTTTACTCTGACATATGTTATCTCCTTTAAGGAAAGGCCTTGGTGCCATATGTGTTGTTGTCACCAGTGTGTGACCGGTCAACTTGACTGGCACGAAGGGTAATTGTTGTGGGAACGCTGAGGCACTTCTTTATCGGTGTTTGTGGACTCTAAGATGTGAAATCCTTGAGGCCATGAGTGTCGGACGCAGATGATTCAGTGTTTAGTCTACTCCTTCAGAGATGTTGATTTCTCTCTGTGAACCTGTTAAAAGGTCTAGCATAGAGAGAGGTTCTTCAAAATTGACGTGGCAACTCTACCGTGTGGTCAGAACCTCTGACTCTTTGATTTGTGATGTGAATCCTCCGGCCGAATACTCTGAATAAACCCATCAGTGTTTGACATCAAAGCTCCAACTCTCACCGTGTCTCCTTCCTGAGTCGGTGACTCCATGCATTACTACACAGAAGTTTCCTCCACAAATTGGCGTTGTCGGCAGGATACCAACAGATCTTCAGAGACTGGTAAGTGTGATTTCAAATCTACATTTGGACATTGCCTTACCAGAATCTGTGATTGACGGTATCCTAAAATTATCTGTGAAGCTGAGCGGCTGTGTTTCATTTTGGTTAATGAACATTTGGGGCTATTAACCCCAGGGGATCATCCAGGGACGCTGACCTGGCTGATTTCCTCTGTGTGTGCTGCTCGGGACGTATGTGCCGTACAGGCAGTAGCAGAGATGTTTTGCTGCCTGGGGCATGTGTGCCGTACAGGCAGTCGCAGAGATGTTTAAAAATACCTTAATGGGGGCATCTGTAAAGTGGAACTTCTGTGTGAAAGCAAAATAGAGATTTGTAGTGAACAAATCGCCGAAATTCTGGGGGTTTCAGCGGCCAATACTAGCAGTTAACATAAGCAGCCAGAGATATTACCCCTATCGCCTCTAAAAAAACACGGCTCCAGCTGCGGCTCCGGGTGTGTGTGTCCTCTGTGTGTGCTGCTCGGGACATGTGTGCCGTACAGGCAGTAGCAGAGATGTTTTGCTGCTCGGGGCATGTGTGCCGCATAGGCAGTAGCAGAGATGTTTTGCTGCTCGGGGCATGTGTGCCGCATAGGCAGTAGCAGGGATGCAAAATACCTCCCCGTATCTGCATGAGCTGGTGAAGTGAACTAAGAGGGAGAAAATCACAGCTTTTGTCTATAGCTTTAACTCACACCTCCGCCGTCTCTATTAAAAAAGAGACGGTTTAAAAGCACTCTCGTGGCTTGTGGCCGTTTACGACGAGCTGGCAGGTGCGAGGTGCGTGCATTACCTGATGCGCCACAGTTCCCTACATTGCTGGAGGAACTGGTGCCGGTCCGGGGTGCATACATAAAATCATAGGCTAATTGATCACGGGTGGGCAGTGGCATGCAAGTGTAGAACAAAACTGTGTTTCATCGTTGGGATGAACACGATAGCCTGTGTATAGGCTGGTCGAGTAGGACTACAGTTAACTGTGTAGTTTTTGGATAGAAAGGGTAGCGAAAAAAAAAGTCTATGTGCTCCAGATCGGGGGGGCATAGCACCACTAGAGCAGTAGTAGTGGGGTCGCAAGAGGATAAGCTAGTTATTGCTCTTGGACAGCTGCCAGGCACCGATCTAAGACTTG